ACACACACAAATAAAAGTTGAAATTAAAAAAAAAAATCGGGTGGTAGCGTATGCCTTTAATCCTAGCACTCGGGAGGCAGAGGCAGGTGGATCTCTATTGAGTTCCAGGCAGCCTGGTTTACATGGTGAGTTCCAGACCAATCAGCGCTACACAGTGAGACCATATTAAAAAATAAATAAACATTTCAAATCAGGTTGGGATGTAGCTCAGTTGGTAAAGTATTCCCCTAGCAAACGTGAAGCCCTGGGTTTAGGTTTGGTGCCTAGCACCACATAAACTGGGTAGTACACACTTGTAATCCTAGCACTTAAGAAAGCAGAGGCAGAAAGATCGCAAGTTCAAGATCATCCTCAGTTACACAGGAAAATTCACAGCCAGCCTTGCATACATCAGACCCTGTCTCTAAACACCAAACAACAAAATCCTCTAATTAGGGCCCGGGAGACGGCTCAGTGGTTAAGAGCACTGGCTGCTCTTCTAGAGGACCTGGGCTCAATTCCCAGCAACCACTTGACGGCTTACATCTGTCTGTAACTCCAGTTCCAGGGGGTCTGACACCCTCTTCTGGACTCTGAGGGCACCAAGCACGAAGTAGTGTACAGACACACATGCAGGTAAAGTACCTGTATTAGTCAGGGACATAATAGATGATAGATAGATAGATAGATAGATAGATAGATAGATAGATAGATAGATAGATAGATAGATAATAAGCAGATAGACAGACAGATAGATAGATACATAAATAGATAGATACATAGATAGATAAGCAGATAGATAGATACATAGATAGGGGAATTTGTTGGGGTGACTTCCAGGCTGCAGTCCAGCTAATCCAATAATGGCTAGCTGTGAATGGAAAGTCCAAGAATCCAGTGGTTGCTCAGTCCCACCGGGCTGGGTGTCTCAGCTGGTCTTCTGTACATGCTGGAATCCGCAAGAAGCAGGCTCCAGCACCAGGGAGGGAATGAATGTGCTGACAAGGCGAGGGCGAGCAGGCGAAGGATGAACCAACCCCTTTCTTCCACCATTGTCCGTATACAGGCTTCCAGCAGAAGGCATGGCCCAGATTAAAGGTGCGCCTTCCCATCTCAAGGTCCGGATCAAAAGCCTGTGTCATCCAGCCTCAAGATCCAGGTCACTGGTGTGCCCTCCATTTCTGGATTGTAGTTCATTCCAGATGTAGTCAAGCTGACAACCAGGGATAGCCATCACAGCACCCACACACATAAAACTGAATAATAATAATAATAATAATATGTGGGGCGGGAAGGATTTTTTCAATACCCAAAGTGTAGTGTTCTGTCAAGGTATGTGTGGCCCTGCCCCTCTGGATTCTACCTGCTGTACCTTATTCCTGCAGCAAATCCTGCAAACAGGTTAGCCCCTTCATGTCTTCCACAGGCAGCATCATAAAAGTTGCTGCTTGCTCTTGGGACCTACAAGACTAAAGTACTTCATAGGCGCTCTTAAATCTTTACAGAACGGGAATGGTGGAGTGCGCCTCCACTTTGGTAACATGGAAATCTGGGCTACAGAGACAGTGACTTGCTCTGGGCCACACAGCTAGTGGAGTGGAGTGTAAACCCAGTCCTATCTGGCTCCAGGGCAGTCTGCCTTGCTTCTTCTCTGAACTCAGACTCCCACAGGTAATTCCCCGGGGCTCCTGGTCTCTTCCTCCCTGGGAAGTTAATGATCTGTAAGGCAGAGTTCTGAAACTTCCAGTGAAGGTTTAATGTTTAAAGGACCCTGACTTTCCTCCGGCCCTCTAAGATGCAAACGGTCACCTTCGGTTTGGTTTACTCATTAATTTGTTTGGAGAGGAGGACAAGTCTCCACCCTAAAGATACCAAAGAGCAAGCTGGGAGGTGGTGGCACACGCCTTTAATCCCGGCACTCAGGAAGCAGAGGCAGGTGGATCTCTGTGAGTTCGAGGCCAGCCTGCTCTACAGAACTAGTTCCAGGACAGCTCCAGGACACAGAGAAACCCTGTCTCGAAAGACAAAACAAAACAACAACAAAAAACTCAAAGAGCAAATTCTTAAAATGCTATGTTAAATCATCTTGGCATATGGGTGTGGCATGCTACAACCCCAACACTCAGGAACCTGAAGCAGGGGGATTGCCACAAACTTGAGTCTAGCCTGGGCTTTAAATGTCACAAGCACCAGACCTGCTAGGGCTATATAGGAAGACCTGTCTTAAATAACCAAACCAGGCACCTTTCTTTTCGGCCAGATTCTGCTTGTTTCCACAGATATCTGTTGAACTCCTGGGGTGCATGCGTCTGGGACTACGGAACAAAATTAAGTGTCATAGATTATGGCCTTGAGGAGTTTCCAGCAACATGGAAGCAGGCAGGGACAGGCGTATACATTTTCGTGTTGGAGTCTCAGGTCAGTCTAGCACAGGCTAGTGTGGACTGCTTGCAGGAACAGCTGACTGAGGGGAAGGTGTTGTGTGGGAAGCGGCGTCCCTGAGAACTGGGGCTCCGAATGAGCAGAGGGTAGCCAGCGGTAGGAAATGCATTT